TACCCGGCTAAACATACACCCGTGATCGATTCGAGACAAAAAGCTGCTCCGATACTTTCGTATCGGGCAGCTAATATTTTATTGGGCAACGCGCGTGATCCCGCATGGAATACGTAGTATAATACGAATATTTTGAATATTTTGACATCAATCTACAATATTCCGAAAATAAGAGAAATTTGAAAACCAAATTGATTGATTATCTATCTCGCGCGGGAGTTTGGGGAATCTGTGATTTGCCCATCATTATAAATCGCTATAAATATAATATCGCACATGCTTGTAATTAGACTTACATTAATGCACATGAATGTATACTACAAAATGGTGTTCAATTAGATCAGTGTAATGAATTTAATCTTATTAATTTTTTTTTCAAAATGACGAAAACGTGCGTTTTCATGAATTTCGAAGACTGCTTTTTTCCTATAAAATGACATCATGTTATCAATAATCATATCAAGAAAAAGACATCTGAATTAAAAAAAAAAAGAACAACCCCAAAAAATTCCTACCTATTTTGCTAAAAAATCATGAATAGTTTTATTTTTGTATTTAGTTTATTTGCTATTTTTCTTACAGTAAATGCAGTTCCATTTCAACATAATAAAAGAGCTACCAAATTCAACACACCTTGTCAAATTGATCTAGACCCACTTACTGTGGTAATGAAGCCTGACCCTCCTGTTGGAAACCAATCTGACCTAATTAATGTATCTGGAACTTTAACAGAATTTAATATTACCGCAAACCAAACCTTGTAATTCGTTTTTTAAACTTAGCAAGTAACCTTATAGGTGACTTCTTCAATCAAACATTTGATAAATCATATAATAATGGAACCCCATTTACGATAATTGCATCAAATGTTCCTGTTCCTACTATACCTAGTTCATATAATATTTTAATTACGGTTGGAACTACACATGATGATTATGCCTGTACATGTGGTAGTGTTAACAACCCTAAAGGATGCTAATTTTTTTTCATTGATTTATTATACAGTCTTAGAGATTATAATAAAATTATTTATATCTTATATAATCTTGTAATGCTTAAAGTAAACTTTTTAAAAATAATAATAATAATAATAAATATTTATTTGACTGATTTAATTTTTATCAAAGCTATTACATTTTTAAATGCGAAAATTTGTTCATAAACTTTTTATTATATATTAATTTTACATTTGTTGGTATTGAAAATCCAAGGTTTACAATGTAAACCTCATTGAATAAGTTTTGCAAAAGAATTATTTGAAGAACCAGAAACTTTTTTTTGAGCTTTAATAAATCTTATATATTTCTTGGGAAGTTTTTTACATTTTAATAAATCCTATATATTTCTTGGAAGTTCTTTACATTTTAATATATTTCTTGGAAGTTTTTTACATTTTAACAAATGACTTTTTAATTGAGCAACTAATCAACAGTCTTCTTCGCAATAATTACATTTTTGGCGAGATATTGTTTGATCGTGTTCATCAGGTTCAGCAACTTTTGTAAAGTTTAAACGGATTTCTTTTAACGGGGTCTTCCACGAACATGAGACATTGTTTTTATTTAGTATTTTATAATGTTATATATACATTTAAATTATGCATTCGGATCATAATTACGTCATAATGTATTAGAACATTTTTTAACAGATTTAAACAAACATGATTTTTAAGATCGTGTTCTAAAACATTTAGTATCCCTATCTATAGTAGAAGATGCCGGGACCTGTAAAATTCTAGAAAAATTTTAAGACAAAAAAGAGTAAGTCATTTATATAATACAGCACAAAAAAGTAATCGCTTAAAGCGATCCAATATTAAAATTTCCTTATATGATATCTACCCTTTTTTTCTTCTTTTTTTTTGTAATTTTGAGAGCAAATGGAAAATCTCGTCTATTTATTGAGCCAAAATTTACGCTCATTGAATCGAAGTTATTATTAAGGATCGTCAAATATTTCACAAGTATCAAAAAACTTCTTGATTGATGTTCATAAATAATTCACTTTACATCAAAGTTTTGCCACCTCTGTCGATTGGATCGTAAGCATCAATAATTTTTTTTTTCGCGTAAACTTTTACAATATTCAATTTAATTAATTTAATTTAAAAATAAATAAATAAAATAAATATATAGAATAAAATATAAATAAAAATAAAATAAAATCACAGCCATAATGAACAAAGCCATTTGTGATACAGATAGAGATAACTTTACAAGTTTTAATATACGTTTATTAAAAAATACATATTCTTTAAAATTTTGAAAAGCCACAAAAGTCTTGAAAGCAACTTGCGAAGGTATTAATCGTTTGGGTACAAGCCGTTTTTAAATAAGTTTATGAAAATAACTCATGATGGTTCGTGTCTTTGTATACATGTTAAAAAGAGAACATTTTTGTAATAAGCTTAGTATTACTGCATTATGCACAAAGCCATCGTTCTAGCCTCCGTTTCTAAGCCAATATAATAAGCACTTATGAAGAAAAGTCTATTTGCCGCGCGGCATAGTCTGCATGTTTCTCTTGCTATTACTATAATTATAATAATTATAATAATCTGAATGCAAAAATTAAAATATGTAAATAATCTTTTAGCATTATCATTCTGATCTGACGAGCACTGCATAGTAATGTAAATATCAGACTTTATTAGACCGTTGAAGATGTATCCGTTCATTCTTTACGACATAAAATTTATTCACTTTGATGTTCAAAATATAACGAAATATTATATTTTAGCCAATCAGAGTAGCTATATAAAAAAAGACATTCCGCCTCTATTTTTTTCTATCGAAATGATAATCTCTCAATCTGATTAATCGAATTGCAGAATTCTCGGCAAAAATAAATAAAATATATGTAATAAACTAAAAAAGGAATTCCTTATTTGAAATGAAATTACTATTTTACGGTCGGGTTTACCGAAAAAAGCCATGTTCAGATAGAATTGATTTTATTGAAAGTTCGTCGAATTAAAAAAATAACTAATTATCATTCGGTTGAATAGATAAGTTGTCAAAATCAATAAACTTAACTATTGGTCATTTTTCCAGAATTTATGAAATAGCTGTGATTTGTCGAAGAAAGTAAATTAAGTTTATCATCATGACGCGAAAATTTTGCGGTCCCGTGATTAATGTGTATCTATCCGAAGTAAAGATACTGTGAAAATAAAAACTGTGAAAATAAAAACTGTAAAAATAAAAACTGTAAAAATAAATATTGTAAAAATAAATATTGTAAAAATAATAAAAAATTTAATAAATATATTTAGATAAAAACATCGATGGACTAGTCACGGGACCACCAAATCTTGAACACTCAAGGGTTTCGTTCGGACATTTACCGAAAAAATTGTTGGTTTTGACTTTTGTACAATGAATTACCGAAACATTTTCGACACACCAAAATACATTCGTGCTAATTTAATTCAAACCTACCATATCTGAACTTATAAAATTACGAAAGAAAGAAAATTATTTTGATGTACAATTATTATTATAAATAACTTTCTAAAAATAGATCACCTATTGGTTGATATAGAATAAGAGGTTAAAAAATTTTAGACGAACTGCATTTAGAACCTACACGTTCTACTTGACATTAAATATGAAAAATTGTATCCTTAGAATTTTCCCGTAAATTTGAGAATAATTGGAACTTTACAAATAAGATATAAATTTGTTTATAATTAGTTTAATAATATCAAGAGAACGAAATATATATATATATAATAATGATTTTGTCTATAATTACCAACAATAGCAGCTACTATGAGAATCGCTACAACTGTTAGAATAATTGTCATTTTCACATTTTTCTTTGCCAATTTTTTACTAGTTTTATTAGCAACTTCCGAAAATTTAAGACCTGCATCTTTTAAGCTGTCTTTTATACATATGAAAAATAAAAATTTATAAATAATCTATTCCTCGATTTCTTAAATAAACATTCCTCACATTACCAGACTTTTGCTTTAAAACATCTAATTTTTCATCTCTATTCGCAATATCTACAAGTGTCGAACGTAAAACTTCCTGTGTACTACTTATTTGCCCTATAATTGTTTCTGTTTTTGAACGACTAGTTTCAGGCACGTCAGACCTGTGTTAATAATTTTCGATAGGAACGTGATAGATAGAAATATAAACCGATAATTGAAAATGTCAGAAATACTGTACTGTAATAACGATAATCATTGAAACGATCTTCAAGAATATTAATATCGATTATTGAAAATTTTTTAATAACACATACATTCTTATATTTCAATAATTTAAATAAAGATTTACAAAAAAAACAAATATTTGAAAAAAAAAATTAATCTTTCGTGATCAACGTCATAAAATTGATCACCTTGTATGAGCCAAATATAAACAATGCAATATCAAACTTAATACTTTTAAACAATTTTTATTAAACCCGATCATAAAATAAAAGCCTCAAGGATAAATTCGAAGCAAACAACCCACGTGTGTGGCCGGATCAATATCAAGAATTATAACTTGATTTTTATCAACCTTTTTCATAGCCCGAAATAAAATTTTTTTTCTATATCGCTATTGTTTCGAAGACCAACCATTGGCGCCAAAAAATTATCAAAATAAATCAAACCAAGTACGTACGTAACTAATGCCGATTTCACATAGAAAACCCGGGATTACTTTCAGAGCGATACGTAATAAATTCTTGAACGTTACTATGTACTATATGTTTTACGAACCTAAAAAGAATTCGCTATATTGAAATTCTATTTATAGAAATACAGTAACCTGTGAAATTAAAAATTGAATTTATAGTCGGCTTAATCTATAATATAAATTTGTAGACTAATTATATGTCGATTTTAATTTCGACTACTGTATAAATTTGTAGCAGTAAGAATAGCGCTGAACGAAGATCAAAAATGTAAACTTGTTTACACATACCGGGTGGTAATTCACTAACAATTCAAAGCTACTGAATTAGGATTTCTCCTTGCGGGGACTTAAATTTATGTATAATATTTAGATTCTCATTTGGCCAAATAAATACAAAATTTTATGACAATAAAGTGTTAAAACTTGATTTAAATAAAAAATAAGTACAAGATTTTAAAATTTAAATATACATTCCTTGGTGTTTAAAGAAATCTGTGTTTCCGTGATTATATGGAACATTAGATGATCGTTAAACATTTACAACTGCTCTCATAAATTCTGGTACAAGCACGCTTCCCGGAGTTTCTTCAGTTTCTTATGATTATCTAACTAGCCGGAATTCCATCTTTGTTTCCGGACTGAAGTTCCGAAGATAGTGACGTGTTTTCGAAGAGCTAGGCGACTTTTAGGATGAAATTGAAGAAAACGAGAAAATTTTTAGTTCGAACTAAGAATTTACTTTGTAAAAGAAAATTTTAAACTAAACCTTTTTTCAACTCACTAAACTAATCGTTTTTGGTGTATAAATTGCTGGTGAAAAATAGTTGGTATGAGATGAATCAATTTTTAGAATACTAGTTTTCGCTAATAAATTTAATGATTTTTGATTAATTAGTATACTAGTATCGCCCATAAAAAAAATGTAGCTGACGTTCTGATCATACGTGCTTATGACGTTTAGCTTTTCTTGATTATTAATCATTATCGTTATACCGCATGTTGTATATAACAAAGATTTTAACATTAACGTTAATATTTAATATGGATGGAAAAACTTGTGGTTCATACATACAAGATATGAAAATTATGCGATAAAGTTGACTTCATACTTAACAGCGACGATG